AAGACGACGACGGTGACGAGCACGGGGGTGCAGTTCATGAACGAGATGAGGACGATGACGATGCGGAAGAAGCGCGCGATGGAGCCGAGCTCGATGGCACGCAGCTGGCGGATCTTGGCCTGGAACTTTTCTTCCCACGCGTTGAACTTGATGATTTGGATTGCGCCAAAGACCTCGTTGACGACCTTCATGCGGTCGTCCTTGAGCTTGAAGAGGCGCTCTTCCTCGCTGCCGAGCATGATGGCGAGGACAGCGTTAATGACCAAGATGACGGCGACGACGCCGAGACCGACAAAGATCGACCAGCCAATGATCTTGTAGAGAAGGTAGAGCACAAAGCCGACCTGGCACGGCACGATCCAGATCTGGTGGATGCTCAGCGCAAAGCTCATGACGTTGATGACGTCGATCGAGAAGAGGTTGGCGATGTCACCGGCGGTCTTCTCCTTCTTGGAGGATGCGTTGAGAAGCAGCGCCTTCTCAAAGAGCATGGACCGAAGCGACGACGAGAACTGGATGCCAATGACGTCGTTCATGTAGTTCATGTGCGACTTGACAAAGGCATTGATGAGCTGGCTGACGTACAGCGACCCGATGAGCTGGAGCACATAGGTTGTGTCAAGAACGGGTGCTTCGACAGCGCGAATGATCTCGCCGAGAACGTAGCCGGGGCCGTACAAGTCGGCGAGCACCGTGAAGAGCTGCATGAAGCCGAGGACGATGAAGCGGCCCCAGTAGATGGCGAAGAAGGAGGTCAGAATGCCCTTGTTGTGGTGCTCGTACACGACCTTGAACTCGCCGGCGAGGCGGCCGACACGGTTGACCTCTTGGAGCGGCCACATGTCCTCGGGCGCCAATTGGCGCGTGTTGCCGACGCGAAGGAAGGGCTGGACCCAGTCGAACGAGAGCCACGTAAAGACGTTCGAGGTGTCTTGCGGGTGCGGCGCGTCGGCCTTGGCCGGCGCGTCAAACGTCCGGTACTGCGGCACGCTCTTGTCGCTCTTGAGCATGGCAAATGCGAAAGTGACGTTGAGCTTCTGGCCGCGGATGCAAGAACCCGCTTTGTTCCTGAGTGCAAACGTCCTTTCCTGCTCCAATCGATTTTTAGAGGTCTTAGAAAGGGCAATCTGGCCGATCTTGCTACAAATAGTAAATGATTTCGATGCACACGGGAAATGCAAATCTATGTGATTTCGGAAAGATTATATATGAGAGGTTTACCTTCATTCCGTGCTGATCGATGGGCATCATGTGGTATCGCCTGGAGGCATCCATTCCTAGTCAACCACACTTGGTAGTATCGCCACGCTGTTGTACCCACCGGGCTCCTTGGTACAACCAGCAGCTAGGGACCGTAGCACGCACCAGAACCTACATTTCAGCTCACACCAACCGCGCATTCCAGCAAAGTGCCCACGGGACCATGTCCACCACCCGATGGTTCGTTTCCATGGATGTCCTTGCGAAGGACGAGCTGCATTCTACCACTAATGGCACCAAGTATACCATAGTGTTGATCGTAGCCAACGTCGCGAGGTCTTGGTTGCTCCCCAAGGCAATTCGGCGTGGCGAACCAACTGGTGATCATCGTACATCTTCCCAGCAGTTGACTAACCGTTGAAAGGCGCACCTGTATTTTATTTTGGGGTGCGCTTTTCCGGCAAGAATTTTCCACCAGTGTTTTTCACGAGTCGTGGGAAATCACGTGGTGTGGGAATTGCAATTGCCACCGCCATTCGCACGTCGACCAACCGATCCGACTCGCGACAGAGGATGATGGACGACGACGCAAGCTTCGTGGGCTACAATACATGGGCGGTCGAGGCGCTGGACGTCGCGCTCAACGCGGACCTTGTCTACGAGGAGTCGTCGGGCGGCGATCGCGGTGTCTTTGTCTCGGAGGCCATCAAGGCGCACACGGCGATCCTCTCGATTCCGTTCGAGAGCCTCCTCAATCTGTACAGCATCGCGGCCTCGCCGCTGGCCGAGATCCCGCACCTCCACGAGCGCGAGGACGACTGCCTCGCGTGGTTCCTCCTCTACGAGACGCACCTCAACAAGGCGAGCAAGTGGATGCGCCACATCGCCGTATTGCCGCGCACCTTCCACAACATCTTGTACCTCTCGGACGCCGACATTGAGCGCCTCGAGGGCAGCAACGTGTACTACGTCGCGCGCCACTTGCAGTCGCAGGTCGCGGCCGACTTTGACGAGCTCACGACCACGATCTTGCCCGAGACGCTCCGCGCGCTCGCGGCCGACCATTCCGCCGACGCGATCCTCGCGGCCTTTACGCTCGAGGTACCCTCCTGCGCTTGTATCCTCTGGATAGCCCATTGTCTTTATGCGGGTAGAACTACAAGTGGGCCCTCTCGGTGATCTGGAGTCGGTTCGTCTCGGTGGCCACGTCGACCGACTCGATGGTCAAGTGCATGGTGCCGGTCTTTGACATGTTCAACCACGACCCGAGCGCGCAGATGGCGCATGGCTTTGACCCGCGCACCAACTCGTTCGTGCTGCAGTCGCACCAGTACTGGGCGCCGGGGGGGCAGGTCTTTATCAACTATGGCGCGCTTCCAAACCACAAGCTCTTGACGCTCTACGGCTTTGTGCTCGAGAAGAACGCGTACGACACTGTCGAGCTCTGGGCGCCCATGAGCCAAGACGCGCCGTATTACGACCGCAAGATGGCCTTCATCACGGCCCACGGCCTCGGGCACCACGCGCGCGTCCCGTTTGACTTGACGACGCTGGGCGTCAACGAAGAGCTCCTCGCGTACCTGCGCATCCAGCGCATGGAGGTCGACGAGCTCTCGTCGTTTGAAGGCTCGACTTTTGCGTACAAGGCGCTGAGCAACGAGAACGAAAAGAGCACGCTGACGGCGCTCATTTTTGCGCTGCAGTCGATGCGCGACCGGTTTCCCACGAGCATCGAAGAAGACGATATGCTGATGAAGACGCTCTCGGCGTCCGAGGCCGACGCACACACGCGTATGGTGGTGCTTCTCCGCCGCTCGGACAAGGCGATTTTGACGCAACACATCGACTGGCTCCAGGAAAAGTTAATACCCGTGCTCGCGTCCATGACGGCCAGCGCCCAAGACTAGGCCTTTGGCACGCGGTAGACCTTGATAACGCGGGACGTTGTGCCTTGCACGAGCAGCTCGGCGCCCGCCGCGTCAAATTCAATGCGTGAGATCGCGTCTATACCGTGTGAGACCGAGTGTAGTGCAGTACGGACGGTACCGTCTTGCGCATGCAGCACTTCATGGCGCACGGTCATGGTCGCGACGTCGAGGAAGAAGAGCGAACTGCCCTGCGTCATGGCGATCCACTAGCACAAGAATGGATAGGATGACGAGGTTCAGGAGGACGAGGCATCGAACGATACCTCTCCGTTGGGCGTAATGTCCACGGTCGAGTAGTGCCCGCTCGGCGCCTGGAACGTCTTGATGCACTTGGGGTCTTCCTCGAGCTTGTAGCGCACTATGGAGAATCGTGTCATACTAAGTATGCACAATCTGTCGACGATGTATGTTACTTTGACGTACCGTTGATGTCCCAGACGCGGACGGTGCCATCCTTAGACGCCGTCACAATGCGGTTCACGGGCTTTTGGTCGGAGCCATCGAAAGCAATGTCCGTCACACCGCTCTATTCCGTGTGGACAACACGTCGTCGTCGAAGCCAAGAACGAATGAGGAGCTACCGTGTGGCCTTGGAGGGCCATGGCCTTGTGGAGCTTCACGAACGCACCGGTCTTGGAGCGCTGGATCTCGTAGATCTAGTACCGTATCAGATATCAGATGTCGGAGATATCTGGACGCAGACGTGTACCTTGACCTCAGGCGTGTACGCGGCGACAGCGATGAACCGGTTGTCGAGCGACTGGACGCCGTGGAAGTTTTGAATCTGGTTGACGCTGGTCGTCTGAAGAAGCGTGCCGGTCGTGTTCCAGCACTTGATGTCCGTGTCGTCGTCGCGACCGACCGTCAGCAGCGTCATCCACTCGTCGCCAATGTCATTGAGCAGCAGCGAGAGCACGTTGTGGCCGACGGGAAACGACCCGACGACCTCGGGCTTGGTCTTAAACTTGCTGTAGAGAAGGACGTTTTGCCCGTCGGCGGTCGCAACCCCGAGCGTCTTGCCGTCCGAGCTAAAGCTGCAGACCGTCGAGTAGTCGTACGGGAGGTTGATCGTCTTGAACGTTGGGTTCTTGGCGCCCAGCGACTCGCGCAGCGTCAAGCGCACCGACCGGTCGGTCGATGCGGTCGCAATGAATCGACCGTTGGGACTAAACGTCGCCGCTGTGATCGGACCCGTGTGGCCCTTAAGGACGTGCGCGAGGAGCGGGTGATCAGCGTGCTTGGTGCTTGGCGCAGCCACAGTCGGCGCCTTGGCTTGCGGCTTTGTCGCCGGCTTCTTCACTTTCTCAGGGAGCTTCTCCTTGGACTTCTCCTTGGCAACAGAGTCGTCTTTCTTGAGCTTCTTTGGCGCTTGGCCCACGACGAGGTAGCCCACGTAGGCCAAGGCGGCCAGCAGCAGCAGCGGCAGGAGTAGGTCCAGCATCGGTCACCGCACGTCTGAGGTTGCCTTTCTAGATTATCCGGCGCGTCCGGATAAGATGGCGCGGCTTCCATGGCGCCGACAACTGCTTCGTTGCGCCGAGCTCAGCAGCTGTTGGTAGAGACGATCTGACGCAATCTGACATTCGTCAAAACACAGGCCTCCACCTGGGCCTCCACCACTACGCAAGGGAGTATGAATGAACGACCCAACAACCACCTTGCGAGATAGTCCAAGTGGCTGGTTGCAAATTTGGACAGGTTCGAAGCGACGCATCCCCACAGACAGACGTGTGTTGATCCACGTCATATTCGCGCATCCGGATGACAATTAACGGGAAAATACGCGTCATTTTTACCTTCGAATGCGATGATTGCAGGGCATCAAGAAGGTACTTCTGCGCATACGACAACCATTTCATCTTGTGCATGCGAATAGAGAGCAGCGACAGGGACATTTGTTCAGCCTCGGCACCACAGCCTTTCAAGAGCTATCGCACGCACCGAAAGCATTGCTTGGATTTGATCCTGTCGAAAACAGCTCATAACTTGGCAAGCTAACGTCTTCAACACTCGGACAAGCAGACTTTTGTATTGAGAAAAGCTCGAAACCCTACGCCTTCAGCTCCAATCTGACATTTCGCGCTGTCCAACGGACGTGCGAGCTTGTCCAGTGTCGCTTTCTAGAATGTTGTACGTTCCTCGCCATTCGAATGATCACGAAAGTTTATTGTGCATCAGCGTACTATAAGCTCACTACGATATTGGAGTGTGTGCGGCGGACTCGAACCAGCGAGGGGACACACGACCAACGTTCCCATTTTAAGAATGATGTGCATCTCAAAATACCGGTAAAATGCCCGGCTCACCAGATGACCTTGGGGGAACTGAGGATAACCACGTTGCACAACCCTGCACCCAAGGTTGCGTTTGCACCCAGGAACAGTATTGCTCGAGGTCGTCATTGTTGAATTTGCCAGCCATGCTTCAAAGCAACAAGACGGCTGCCGAGTACAAGACCTTTGAGCCGGCGCCTCGTGTCCACCCCCAAGACGACGCCAACATCGTCTCGCGCCTGGCGTTCGCCTGGACCAAGCCGCTGCTTCGGCTCGGGAATGTGCGGCAGCTTGCATCCAGCGACCTCTGGCAGCTTCAGAACGCCAACAAGGTCGACCCACTCACGGCGCATTTTGAAAACGTCTACGCGCGCAAGAACAAGGGCCTTCTCTCGTCTTTCTTCGCGATCTACTGGGGCCGCTTCGCCTGCATCGGCTTCATGGAGCTTTTCACCGTGCTCGCCGACTTGTACGGTCCTGGCTACGTCCTTGGCGAGATCATTCGCGCTGTCGAGGCGCCCATTCTTGACACGACGTACGTGCTCCAGCTCATCGGGTCGCTCTACCTTGTGCAAGTGACGGCCGCGTTCATCAAGGGCCATTTAACGTACCTCAACGACGTCATTGGCATCCAGTTCTCATCGGTGCTGCGCTCGATGCTCTTCAAGAAGGCTCTGCGCTTGGACGCGTCCTCCAAGAAAGAGAAGACCGCCGGTGACATTGCCAACCTCTTCTCGATTGACACCATCAACGTCATGAGCTTTGCGACAAGCATCCACTCGATGTGGATCGTACCGCTTCAAATCGGAATTGTACTTCATCTCCTCTACACGATCGTGGGCTGGGCCATCTTTGTCGGCCTCGGCGCCGTCGTCCTCATCCTGGTCATCAACGGCGTCGTCGCGGGTCTTTTGGGTACCGAGCAAGAACGTTGCTTCAAGCTCAAGGACGACCGCATGAAGGTCATCAACGAGGTCTTTGGCGCGATCCAGATCATCAAGTTCAACGCGTGGGAAGAAAAGTTCCAGGCCAAGATCCGCAACCTCCGCGTCATCGAGTTTGAATCGACCAAAAAGCTCATGCGCATCGTCGTTGTCCTCATCTCGTTCATGAACTGCACACCGATCCTCGTCACCGTAGTCGTCTTCGCGACGTTCACGCTCTGGATGAAGCAAGCACTGACGGTCACGATCGTCTTTTCCACGCTCGCGCTCTTCAAGTCGCTCCAAGAAGCTCTTGTGAACCTCCCGATGGTGATTTCCGCCATGGTCCAGTCGCTTGTTTCGGCCAAGCGTATTAACGACGTGCTCTTGATGGACGAAGTGGACCCGACCAACGTCTCGACGCCGTCCGACCCG